CTTTCACTTTCAGTTCATTTCTTATATCTATAAAAACATTTCATATTTCTGTTCAGATCAGTGTGGGTTGTTCAAGATGCAGCAACTCTACTCCATCCCACAACCAGGAAAAAAAAGATGTTCTTTCATGAGGAATTCTTTTGGCTTTCGAAAACAATGATGACATGATGATTGTAATACATTTCTGTTCTCATGTCCCATGCTTGAACTCAGAATTATTTCCAGAACTTAACGTATATTTATTTAAGCTACTCGAGTTTCGACTACCCATCCGTGTGTGCTGTGCATTCAACCTGGACACACATTCCCTGAGCTCTAAGAAAATTTTCCGAGCCCACTCAATCGCTGAAATGGATTTAAAATAATTTGTTTCATACATTTTTAAAGCTCAAGAGTGTTAGGTGTCATGGAAAGAGCCTTTTTTTCTTTCCCAGCCCACTCAATCGCTGAAATGGATTAAAAATAAATTCTTTCATACATTTTTAAAGCTCAAGAGTGTTAGGTATCATGGAAAGAGCTTTTTCTTTCCACAGCCCACTCAATCGCTGAAATGGATTAAAAACAAATTCTTTGATACATTTTTAAAGCTCAAGCGTGTTAGCTGTCATAGAAAGGGCCTTTTTTTTCCCCAGCCCACTCAATCGCTGAAATGGATTAAAAATAAATTCTTTCATACATTTTTAAAGCTCAAGCGTGTTAGCTGTCATGGAAAGAGCCTTTTTTTCCCAGCCCACTCAATCGCTGAAATGGATTAAAAATAAATTCTTTCATACATGTTTAAAGCTCAAGCGTGTTAGCTGTCATGGAAACTGAAATTTATGTCACGGTTTGTGTGTCACACGTCGTCAACGGTATGATTTGAGGTGAAAATTGAAAACCCGGTATGAAAAATCTCTTTAACTTCACTTTAGAAGAAGGTGTGGGATAGAGAGATTTCGTCATGGGAAAATGTCTTTCAATGTCTTTCAATGTCCGTCATGGGAAAATGTCTTTCAATATCATGTCATCTCCTTTCAAATAGGATTGAAGGATTTTTCTTAAACTATGTTGAAATCTTGATGCATAAAAACCACGGATGGGAAATTCTGATTTATGGATGGATCATCCAATTTCGCTAGACCCTGATAAACGGTTGCTGATGAAATCCAAACGAGGGGTCCTAGCTTTTCAAATGGGAAACATTTTCCCCTAAAAGGAGAAATGATTTCTATTCTGTGAGACGTCAAAAATTGGAAAAAAAAGCTTGTGTTCACAGAAGCTCTTTCTAGAAGAGTGGTCCTGGGTCCAGATGCAGTAGAGAGAGAGAAAAAGCATGCTGCACCTTGGACAGCCCGCACAGTTCTGAACAGAAAACGTAGTAGAATACTTTTATAGAAAAGTGTTGAAAGTGAAAGTAAAAGGCCAATCGTCTTGGCTGTAGAATTTTCACTTGGTTGCCGACTGGGAAAAATTTTTCAAAGCTCAGAAAAAAAAATTTGAGATGTAAAAAAAAAAAAAAAAAAAAAAAACTTTTTGTTATCATGTCTTCTAGACATGATAAAAATTAACCCTACCCCCCTTTTTGTGTGGGAATGTTTGTCTCACTGTTTCTAAAAATAGACCATGTATACCAATATACTACAAACGGACTTGAACGCCTGTTCTCAGTATGTAGCTATACAAATTTGAAGGTAAAAAAAAAATTAAAAAAAGACATCTTTTTGGGGAAAAGGGAGTAAATTTGTATAGGAATATACTACAAACGGAATTTAAGGCCTGTTTTCAGTATATAGCTATACAAATTGGAAGGTAAAAAAAATAAAAAAAAGACATCTTTTTTTTTCGGGGGGAAGGCAGTGAATTTGTATAGGAATATACTACAAACGGACTTTAAAGCCTGTTTTCAGCATATAGCTATACAAATTGGAAGGTAAAAAAAAATAAAAAAAAAAAAAAAGACATCTTTTTTTTTTCGGGGGGGAAGGCAGTGAATTTGTATAGGAATATACTACAAACGGACTTTAAAGCCTGTTTTCAGCATATAGCTATACAAATTGGAAGGTAAAAAAATAAAAAAAAAGACATCTTTTTTTTTCGGGGAAATTAAGTGAATTTGTATAGGAATATACTACAAACGGACTTTAATGCCTGTTTTCAGTATATAGCTATACAAATTGGAAGGTAAAAAAAAAAAATAAAAAAAAAGACATCTTTTTTTTTCGGGAAATTAAGTGAATTTGTATAGGAATATACTACAAACTGACTTTAATGCCTGTTTTCAGTATATAGCTATACAAATTGGAAGGTAAAAAAAAATAAAAAAAAAAGATATCTTTTTTGGGGAAAAGGAGTGAATTTGTATAGAAATATACTACAAGAACATCAAGAAAAGAACATCATGGGTCCAAGAATTGAAAGTGAAAGTCCAAAAACGAAATGTTAACGACTGGGAAGAAAATTTTCAAAGCTGAAAAAAGATTAAAAAAAAAAAAAAAAAAAAAAAAAACTTCCTTTTTCTTTCTTAATTTGATGTCTTCATTCTTTTGACCTTGTAGAAATAAAAAAAGTGAAGACATCAAATTAAGAAAGAAAAAAGGAAGGTTTTTTTTTTTTTTTTTTTTTTTTTTTTTAATGTGTTAAAATTTTTCCAGAGCTCTGAGAATTTTTCCCAGTCGGTTTCTAGAAGCAACTCGTTAATGTATTTAAACCACTCGCGTTTCAGTTTCAGATCAGTCTGTGCTGTGCACTCAACGTGGATACACGCTTCTCACTCTCCTGGGAAGAGCTTCTGTGAAGGTATGTGAACATTTTTTTTCTTACTCTTTTGTATTTCATAGACTACAAATATTTATTGAGTCACCCATTTTATAGAAATGTATTCTTATTTCTTTTCAATACTTTGAGGTAGGGTAATATTTTTCCCCCTGCTACTGTTTTTGTTTTTCAAGGCTAGAAATGTTTTACTCAATAGCTGTTTTTTATAGAAAACATGCTATTATTTCGTATACTGATATATTTTGTGAAACTTTAACAAATCCTTTTCAACAAAGCAAGATCATGTGATCCACAGCTGGCTAGACCCGTCAGTGTAATCGGATCACGATTGTTCCATCCTATACTGATATATTTTGTGAAACTTTAACAAATTCCTTTCAAGAAGCCAAGATCTCGTGATCCACAGCTGGCTAGACACGTCAGTGTAATCGGATCACGATTGTTCCATCCTATACTGATATATTTTGTGAAACTTTAACAAATTCCTTTCAAGAAGCCAAGATCTCGTGATCCACAGCTGGCTAGACTCGTCAGTGTAATCGGATCACGATTGTTCCATCCTATACTGATATATTTTGTGAAACTTTAACAAATTCCTTTCAAGAAGCCAAGATCTCGTGATCCACAGCTGACTCCATTAGTCAGGAAAAAAAAACGGATCACGATTTTATCAATCGTATACTGATATATTTTGTGAAACTTTAACAAATCCCTTTCAACAGGGCAAGATCTCGTGATCCATAGCTGGCTAGAGCAGTCAGGATCAATGGATCACGATTGTTCCATCGTATACTGATATATTTTGTGAAACTTTAACAAGGCAAGATCTCGTGATCCACAGCTGGCTAGGTCAATCACGATTGCTGTTGAGAACTGCACGTGCATCTCTTAACCTTTCTGAACTTTAGACGAGCTAGCTGGATATTTCTTCATTTCTTTTTCAAGTATGGGTTCAAAGGATTCTTTTAAATAGTTGCAAGTAAGACGTTGTATTATTTTCTGTTGATCATGAATCTATTAAAAAATTTCAATGCCTAGTTTTAGGGCTACCTATACCCGGCATGATTCATATGTTTTACTCTACGTTTTAGATGAGACCCTCTCTTAAAAACATGATTTTCCTATTCAAAGTTGAAATGAGTTTCTAAAAGCATGATTCTTTTAAAAAAACATGTGTGTTTGTGTAGGTGTGGTGGGACGGTTAGATTTCTTCTCTTACGAGATAGTCATCTCCACCCTCTCGTGGTCGCTGAAATCTCGTGATGGCTCAAGTGAAAAGGGTTCGTTTATTTTGACTCACAACCACGTTATATTTTTTTGGATATCTCCTCCAACGACTCGTGGAACTCTTTTCCCTGAAATCAGGTATGTTTAGCAGCGCACGCCCTCTGAAGTGAAGCTCGGAATACTTTGACAAATCCTGTCGAGTGGATTCTGAAACCATTTTTAAAGGATCTCAGAGAAACACCCATGAAGACGATACCAACGTGTCGTTTTTCAGAAAGCATGAAGGTGGCTCATGGTGAGAGATGAGATGGTAAAATAGTTTTTTTTCTTAGAAAGTTGAAAAAAATGGAGAGTAGTAAGACACAGTCTCTTTTTTCGAAACTGAGTAGGAGGGTCATTTTGAGATGAGCTGGAAAATATTTTCTGAGAGATTTGAAAAAAAATTTTTTAAAAATAAAAATATATATATATATATATATATATATATTATAAATACTTTTTGTTCATTTTTATCATGTCTTCAGACATGATAAAAATGAACGACATCTCTCTTTTTTCTTTGAAACCTCTTTCAACCTATCTCGTCCTGTTTCTCAAGTAACATTTCCTTTCCTGAAAAGCTAATTTCTTTAGACACCTAAGACAACAGGTAGAGACATACTTCGAACCAAAAAGAGAGTAGAGATCCTTTTGAATAATGTCGAATAGACAAAACACGAGTAGCCATTTCAGTTCTATGCTTTTTCCTAGGGACGATCCACGAAAGGGTCCTCTTTTGTTCACGACCCGTGGTTCACCCATGAATTAAACACGTAGGCTCGAAACTTTCTAACATCTCTACCTCCACGGTGCAGTTTGAAAGGAAGGTGACCCACCCATCACCCCAGCTATGAAATGAAACGTCAAAACAGTGCACACGTTCTAGAATAAGAACCCTTGTAGACATTTGGGGGCTCTACAGCACAGACTCAACAGAAACAAAACGATAAAAACTTTCATAGATCCCAGAGAGTGGATGCTTAAAAATAAGGTGATGTCTCGTCGATCAAATCAGCTGTAAATAAATGTCTAAGAGCTGTGAAGAATGGATGGCCTACCTTCACAAAAGCTCTTTCTAGGAGGGAAAAGTATGTATCCAAGCAGAATACACAGCACAGACTGATGTTAAGTCGAAACTGGAGTGATTTCAATACACAAGTATGAATTCGTTCTAATAACCCTTTAGATAGGTCTTCGTTTGACTCATCGAGTCGAGGGGGAAAACATTGACGTGTTGCCTTTTCCAACAGCCCACACTGTTCTGAACAGAAACGTAGAATGCTTTTATAGATAAAGAGAAGAATTGAAAGTGAAAGTAAAAAAACGAAATCGGATCAGCTGGGAAAATTTCTGAGCCGAGAAAAAATTCTGAGTCAGAAAAAAAAAAAAAAAAAAACCCTTCCTTTTTTTCTTTTTTAATTTGATGTCTTCACTTTTTGACTTTCTACAAGGTCAAAAGAGTGAAGACATCAAATTAATAAAGAAAAAGGAAGAGTTTTTTTTTTTTTTTTTTTTTTTTCAATCTCAGAATTTTTCCTGAGCTCTGAAAAATTTTTTCCCAGCCGATCCCATTTCGTTTTTTTTTGACTTTCACTTTCAATTCTTCTCTTTTCTATAAAAGTATTCCACGTTTTTGTTCAGAACAGTGTGGGCTGTTGAAAAGGTAACACGTCTCCTCTCTCTTTACCCAAATCTGGAACCCATGATGATCTTAAGAAGAATTCTTTAAGAATCTCTTACAATTCCTGAACCTTAGACAAGCTGAATGTTTCTTTTCATTAGTTTTTTCAAGAAGGCAATGGAAATTGAAAAAATGTTGAAAAAACTTTATGGTATTAAAACATGAATTTCCTATGATTAAGAGTTGAAATGATTTTCCCAGAGGCATGATCCTTTTTAAAACATGCGTGTGTATGTGTTGTAGGGTTAGTTTTGTCTCTTACGAGTTAGTCTGGATGTTCTCCACGGGATGTATTTTGGATATCTTCTCCACACTCTCGTGGTCGTTGAAATCTCGTGATCGTTCAAGCGAAAAGGGTTCATTTATTATTTTGGACTCAAGTGATTTCCGTTCGGCAAATCTAGATTTCCTCCGTTGAGAGCGACGAGTCCAAATCATTTCAAAGCTGTTTGGAAAACCCATTCGCTTCTACAGCTACGAGGAAATTGGACAATGCTGATCTGAAAAGCAGAATGTCTGTATACGTATCACGTTGAGAGACTCCTTTCTAAAGGATCTCAGAGAAAAATGGGACACATTCTTGAAAAACAAAATTGAAAAAACGTGTCGTCTTTCGCAAAGGATGAAGCAGGCTCATGTTGTGAGATGTTGCTGGAAAATATTGTTTTTTCTTAGAAAGTTGAAAAAATTGAAAATAGTAAGACACAGTGTCTTGTCGGACACGAAATCGGATCGGCTGGGAAAATTTCTGAGCCGAGAAAAAGTTCTGAGTCAGAAAATAATAATAATAATAATATATTATTATAATAACCCTTCCTTTTTTCTTTTTAATTTGATGTCTTCACTTTTTGACTTTCTACAAGGTCAAAAGAGTGACGACATGAAATTTAAAAAAAAAGAATAGTTTTTTTTTTTTTTTTTTTTTTTTTTTTTTTTTTTTTTTTTCAATCTCAGAATTTTTCCTAAGCTCTGAAAAATTTTTCCCAGCCGATTCCATTTCGCTTTTTGACTTTCACTTTCAACTCTTCTCTTTTCTATAAAAGTATTCCACGTTTTTGTCAGAACAGTGGGGCTGTTGAAGGTAACATGGAACTTTTCTAATTAGCATTTTGCTTTTGAAATTTACGAGCCGCGCTGCGAAACAGTTTTCACTCCAGATCTTCGGCTGCGTGGACATCGTGATCAAACAACATGCGTGAAGAAGGGAACTAGTATGGCAGGGCTTGGTTCAATAATTATGTCTTCTGAAGTTGTTGAATAAAATAATTTTCATTGAATCACACTGTATACCAAATTAAAAACTTTTAGATGATTGACAGGAAATCCAGTCGTTTAGTTGTCTGTAAGGTATTCGTTATCGTCGTAATGGCGTCTTTAGTTGCTTCTTTACGGAATTACAACGGCAGCAACAACAAAAGATAAATGTTTCGCCTCTGTTACTGGTTTTATACTTTGCGATTTGCGCACTAGAAATGCGCGCTATGATCGCAATTCCTTTTCATTTGCGTTGAAACTTTAATCATTTGCACGTTCGATCAAGATACGATCAAGATGCATACCAAGTCCTACTTGGTACTTCGATTTGTTTGCAAAATTGTGTAATTAATTTCGAAAAATATAGCACTCATAATTATTGAAAAACAATTCTAATTATTCTTTTCATCTGTCTAATAATAAATTATACCAATAATAAGCATTTGTAAGATAATTAGTTGCAAATATTTTTAAAATTATTTCATAGGAAATTCCTATACTTGCATTAAAAATAACTCTTACCTTTAACCGCTGCTCCAGTCGTAAACATATACTCTGCTTCTGTAGGCCCTGCTTCATTATGCGATGTCAGTTTTAACTGATACCAGGTGCTTGGGGCAAGACTAGATATTGTTATGCTTTTCTTGTTAGAAGACACTCTATCAGCGAATAGTATCCAGTTTTTCTGTCTCTGCTGTTTATATTTTATTTCAAAATGTGTTATTGGACAACCGCCGCTTTTCCATGAGTTCAGTTGAATAGTTACAGATGTAGCGTTTACCACCAGCAGTTCTTCTTTCTCAGGAGCAATGGGAGCTTTTTAAGAAATAAAAGGTAGAAATATATATATTTTTCCATCAATTAAAAAAGTAATGCAAATATTAAAATATTCATAATTATGTTTCAGTAGTTTTATATTTGATATATGGGTTAGTATTCGGAACAAAACAGAAATTTTTAATAAATGTGTATTACCTATTAAAGTATTTAATATTTGTAAAACCAAAACTAGAAATTATCCAATAATATCTACGAAAATACACAACATAAAGTAAGAATTATTTCATGAAGAATAGGATTTAAAAGCGTTTATTGAGATTTTTTTAATAATATCTGAAATTACTCCTTTATGGAAGCAAAAATGTTTGCTTTTTCTACAATCATGATAAAGCGCTCTGGATGTTATTAATGGCAGGTTTCGTTTTACTCAGAGATGATGGTTAACAAAATTTATTGATTTAATAAATTTGGGAAAAAGTCGCATTAAATTTTAAACAGCTTAAACATCATTTACGCATACATATTTTATTTAATTTTTACAATTATATTTTTAATAGCGTAAGTATTATTTATATTATCTATTTAATCATAAGCTGTCGAATTATGTACAATTCTTGATGTACCAAAGCAAAGGTGATTTTTGATTTTTTAAACCTTTAAATTACGTTTATTTTTCTTTTTGAAAAATGATACAAATTTATATTCAAATTTTCACGCGCATAAGAAGTAAAGTATCAGTTAGTGCGAATTATTCTATTAAATGAAATATTTAGATATATTTAGTTATATATTTAGATATATTTAGTTATTTGAATGACCTTTAAACTTCAGCTTAATTGTAGTGATAATAATCTTCGATATTTATTTTTCATGTTTAATCACTTTTAATCAGATTAATTGTTATTAATTATTAACGATTGTAATTATAAAGTGCAAATATTTAATATTCAGAACTAAGTTAAGTAATACAATATTGTAATTAAGTAGGAAATTCGCAAAAAACAGTTAGCAGTTGATTGGGGAATTAGTTATTTACCTCTTCCACTCGTTCTACCAGATACTGTCTCACTTTGCTCACCATTCCCGTTCATTGCAGTAATATAAAAATCATATCGCATTCCACACTGTAGATTATTTAAAGTGTATGTATTAACATCTCCATACACTTCTTCTGTCTTCCAAGATCCGTAATCCTTTTTGTAGTGAATCACATAACCTGAAATTACAAATGATTCTGTAAGTGCTCATAATAAATACAAGTAGTATAGTTCAGAAAAGGATTCATTCCCGAAAAACCATATTTTGTTTCAAAGAATAGTGAAGAAGTTAACTTCCAAATGTTAACATATACGATAAGTTTATAAAAATAAGTTCAGTTTTCTGATTATTCAAATTATGCAAAAAGAAATAAAAAAATAAGCTCTCTCTCTCTCTCTTATTATAAATTCAAACGTTTTGAACGTATGAAATTGCTTTTGATTTTTTTCTAAAAGAAAGTTTGAACAAGGCAGGTAAAAGGAATAAAGTTTTAAATTTAATATCGCAGAAATAATTTTAATAACATTATAGTCATTTTCAGTTTCACTATATAAAAAATTAATAGCAGTAATTTCATGATTCTTATTTAATGATATCTTTGTTTCGCTGACAGAAATAGGTTCACAATTAATGAAGACAGTATGCCAATCTCCTGGAAGTATTAGGTCACGCCCAAAGTGATATAATAGCTCAGATAATTTTTGTAATTTTGATGTCGGTCGCCACAATCTAAAATATCAACTAATGATTAATGACTTAAACAAGCACGTATGTATGTTAAATGGGCCTCGAAATATAAATAATATAACACAGAGCAACTTCTACCTGAAAGTAGTACCTGAAATAATTTTATAGCAAGGAGCTAGCGTTTGTCCTTAAGTTTAAAGATGTTTGCTTCGAACGTCTTCTATCAAGAATATAATCACAGTCATTTGTAGAACAATTTTACTCATAACATTTATATTGAATAGTTCTTGTAGAAAAGAAGTTAACAAAGGAAACAGAACTGGAGTCCCCAAAATTTTCTTTACAATGTCTTAAACCAATACAAATGAAATTATTTTTTTTCTCTGTCGCACTATCACACAAATTTTATTAATTATCAGTGATATGAGTATAGAATAAAAAATATAGGATATGTATTTTTTTCACATGTTAAATTTTGAGATATGGCGGAATATTTCAAGCTGTTAAAAATCAGAATCATGTTTTACTGTAATATTTTTATTATTTCTTATTATATTACAAATGTTAACCATCACAAAAATGGAGTCTCTTTTATTGCAGCATAATCGCACGCAAATAATACTGATATTCTCTTATGAAAGATTGATTTCCAAAATTAAACTAAAATGCCTTTTTTAAGTAAATTAAAAGGATGCCGGGAATGTTACAAGTCGGTTGAAAAATATCGTAATGCCATCCTGAGAGCCGAAGTTCAACATTCAGTGCTCATACCAACATCAGTTTTGTTGAGATTAAATGTCCATAGCTGAATTTATATTATATAATGGTTTATCAAGAACAAACACAGCGAAAAACCGTGTAGTTTCACAGTTTACATTACACTGAAATAAACTAATTTCAAGGTCAACACTGAAAAACCGTAATAGTAGAAAAAATACAGTATGCTGAAATGGGTCAAGATAAAATATAACAAGTTCTTAATACATTGCAGAAAGAGTTCAAAAGGTAATGGTTTTGACTACCTGGCAATTTTGCTGTTATGAAATATTATAGAATGAAAACTGTTTGGTTCATTTAAATTTCCAAATAAAATATATACATTTGATTTACGTATAATAACACAACAAAAATTTACAGCGCTATCTCTTGCAAGGAACTCTCAATAATAAATTTGTTCAGGGAGTTTGTGAAGCACCTATATATTAAATAACTTTAAAAACTTTAAAATGACAATGTATTTTTTTAAAAATAAATTGAATCTAAGATGTTAAAATTATATTTTTGATTCCACAAAATGTATCCCCATTACTGAAAATACGAAATTGTAAACCGAATTTAAATATGTAATATAAAAGTATCTAAACGATGTAAATTATCACAAATGCAACTAATACTTTTTTATAATTCATAAGTTTTTTTAATTATTAAAAATTTTTCCATCGTCATATATTACAAAAACAGCTTTTCAAATTTTTATGATCTTTTGTAATTTTTATTGATTTAAATATATATATTTTAACTTTTAATGGTAAATTGATTTGAAATTTTTTCTTATTTTGTTAAAGTTTTCCTGTTTTGCATCACGAAATTCTGGTCAGCCTAATTATATATTCCCCCCCAATAGCGCTTGATAGGAGTTTTTTCTATAATAGTAGTAGCTCAAATCTTTCTTTCAATTTTAGGCTGATGCTGCCATTCTATGAAAATATAATTACTCTAAAATTTATAAACAAAACTTTGTTCGTTGATATATTATGAGATTGGAAGGAGAAAAGAAATTTCTGAGCAATAAACGTAGAAATGAAGTATCAATCAATAAGATGCAACAGAATGGTTACGAATATTTACTCTTCGTTTTAATTTCAGGCTTGGCATTTTTATAAAAAGGAATTCTTGCATAATATTAATTTCAACTTTTTTAACAGTCTAAAGTACGATATATAACATCAGTACTTAACAAATACTTTTATCTTTGGGATTGTAATCCCAACCAGATTATAATCCCATTCCTTTTCTTCCAATTTTTTAAAAATTTACCTTTAATTATTATTTAACGAGGGAGAAATACAAATTTAGGAGCGAAATGGTTATATATTTTGAAAAAAAAATATTGTTGCATGCTTACGGGCTCGTAATAGATTGAATGCACAGAGTTCCGATCATAGGTTGAAAAAATATATTTTATCAAAAGAAACACCTTCAGAGTCCTGAACTTTCTTCACAAAATTAGTTTCAAAACTCTTCACAATCAGTAGTTATACCTCAAATTAATAAGAACGTTAAACACAATGAAATGCAAAGGCACTGAAGAGCAAATCTAAACCGGAGATAATACTCGGAACGCAGGCTGAGCTAACAGCTAACAAAAACCTTTGGGAGCAGATGCTGTCTTCGGACTTACACAGTTTTCACCGGGCCGTCGAGATATTTCTAGTACTTTCTGCTTCTCGAAATTACTGGAAGGCAATATGAGGATCGACTTACGGTTAAAGTTAATATAGTGATCAATTACTTTTATTCAATTATAATACTTATTACGGTGCTACAGGGACAGGATCAAAATGTCACCAAATTATAACCAAGCATAGCGACTTTTGGCGATTTCACGCCAAATCTAACGACAATGATTAGTTGCCAGCTTTTCGATATCTCGACAAATTATCGAGATACCCATTTATTCAATGTTAAATGCACTAGCCCTGTATTCTTACTTTTCCAGCATAACTTGTCTCTCTAGATTATTTTCATGTTACGTTACACATAAAATACAACAATTTGACATATAATTACACCAATAACAACTATCTATTTACAAAATTCGTAACAGTATTAAAAAGTATACCTGCAAAGTCAACTCTTATGCATATACGAATGAAGTTTAATGAAGCTTGGTACCAACGAATTCCGAAATAGTTTTATACAATGAAAAAAAGCATTTTTACATTAACTTGTTTTAAGTTTTGCGAAAGAAGTTGTTTTACATGTATTTACTATATACACACTGTATAGTATAAAGCTGAATGTAAACATTAATTTCTCATGCATTGCGTTTTGTAAGATTTATTCTGCTCTTCGTATCATACAAAAACAATGAGAAAAACTAAATATGACATTTAATTCTTTGCATCCGTAAGCATTTCAGTATTTCTGATAATTCAGGAGCAAAGTTTTAAGAACTTTTGCACATTTTAAAAGAATTCAGAACATCTGTGAATAAAAATTTGAACTAAAATGTTCTTAATATTCTCCTTCCGGAGGGGAAAGAAAAAGGAAAAAAAAAAAAAAAAAAAGAAGAGGACAAATAAAAGAAATCTTTTCTGTGATGAGTGTTTAGGTGCAAAACGTTGATACACCAGTTTGATGATTTTGTATAACTTCAAAAAAATATGCCAAATTTACACTGCAAACTGTACTTTTTATTCCTATAGAACAGTTTTCATGCATTATCTGTGTAGCGCTTTCCCAAGCATTTCAAACTTGATATGTAGTTAAATCCAGGCTTGTATTTATTTTAATGTTCTTTCTCTCAAAATTAAAGTTAGAAATAATTGCTGTCATTATAACTGAAATCTATTCAGTTATATAACAGACACTTCTGTAATTTTTCGTTTTTCTCGCATCACGCGAAAGCTAATTTAAGATCGAAAATAAATTCGATTTCTTTCTTCCTGAAATTATTGAGTTGTAGTACATTTTCATCCTGATACGCAGGTAGAGTCGGATGAAATTATCAACGGTTTCAATTACGGGAGGGAGATTCATATAATATATTTGATGTAAGTATGTTGGCTGTTAATGACATCTGAAGATTCGTTTTCTTTCTTTCACAAAGTGAAGTATTGCTGTTGTTAGCCCAAAAAAGGCTATTTTTCTCGAAATGAAATTTTGCTTTGGTTTACTAGAAACGGAGTATCACTACTGAAATTGTTGTTATCAATTACCATCACCGTTTATTATTTTAAAAGAAATTAGATAAAGAAGAATTTGCATATATGTACGTAAAGTGATATTTAATAAATAAAGGTAAAACATAACATTATTAATAAAAAGACAAACAACTTTTTTGTTAATCATCTTGCTAAAAAACTTGAATACGTATATTATGAATTAAGGAAATACTAAAAAAATGAAAGAAAGAAAATCAAATACAATGTTTTTAATATGACAATACTTCATTGCATCAGGAATTCTAGACATATGCTGTCAAATATGTTAGACATATTTTAAAATTTTGTGATTTTGTTGTTAAAATTAAAATTTAAAATTTTGTGAACTGCATGTGGAGTAAGTGCGAAAAAAACATGCTTAGAGGTTTAGCAGAAGTGAGTGTAAGACTAGACCGGTAGACTGTGAGAACAGCAAGAGCGTTAAAACCTAAACAACACTTTTGTGCGAATATTAAACTCTAAAACCTTTCAGATTTTTCTTTTCTTCCTTTTGTATGAGGGTAACTGATAAATTAATTTCACTAATGAACTTCTTTTTTGACTATATTATATATTTTGTATATATAATAATACATAACATATAACTTTATACATGCCGCCCAACCGGGATAGTGATTATCGTCGCTGACTGCCATACCGAACGAGGAACGGATGTTTGTAAATGTATATAGATTGTAAATGGGGACACTCTAAATAGGCGGCGAGCCGAAAGTCATCTTGAGAGGTTGATGTTAGGAGAAGAAGCAGTAGGAAACCCGGACACATTTTTCCCATTGGTGATCTCCATCAAAATTGGGAGCGGAACTAAACGAAATCATTCTGTCACCTGTATGGTGCTCAAGGCTCTTGCCAATGACTGGCACAGTCTTGCATTCCTTACCACGTTGAATTTCGTGGGCTTCTTCTGATGTTACTATCAGACAAGTGAGATAAGGCTAAACAACAACAACATACTTTATATATAACAAGAATTTCATCTGTCTTGAAATGGCGAAGTTCCTTTACTGAATATTTGGCTAAATCGCATTCTTGTTGTTTTAGATTACACTTTAGGATCATTTAATTTTAAAATCATTATTTTAGTTATTGAGGAGAAGTTCACGACGGCAGAAAATTTAAATTCATTCCGCTAATTTCGGTGTAGATGGCACAAGATTTAAATTATATGTATAACCAACATCCCAGTTATGATTACTGTCAATGTGAAAGCCATCAAAGGCTGATTTTAGAAAGCATATGTGAAACTCTACGTGCAGAGATAATATTTTGTGTAAATTAACCGAACATTAGAATTAACAAGAAGTTCATTGTACTCTAAATCATTTAAGCATTTAAGTTTTAAGACAAAATTCTGCACCACTAAACGGGGTAGAGCTGGTGAAAATATAGAAAGTACACCATGCAAAATAAACGCATTATATGCAGTTAGTTCCAACAATCAATTGATTATTTAAAGGCCTGTCCCTTTAGTTCGCGCATTGTCTGGAACTATTCATACTTTCGAATTGTTCTTTTCAAATCTAAATCATCTGAGTCTGCAAATGACAATCCTGAGGCAGGACTCTCACTTAATCATTTCTCCAGTGTTGTCCTTTCTTCCATTCTTTGGTGCTTCAGGGCTTTAAATGCAGTGGGACCGAGACATATATTTCCTCGACATGCTCATTTAAATTTGATAAAAAAACTGTTCTTGAGCCTTTCTTCCCTAGGAAAGTCGCATTTCTATCGGTATGCATTTTTAAGGAAGCTTTACATCATAGAAAAAATAATAGTCGTATTGAGCAATTACTGCTTCCATGGAAATTATTTTTCACAAGACTAGTATTCAATTTATGCATTATTAAAATGTAAAACGGTTGTTATAAACCTTTCAAATGTCAATTTTTAAAGAAAATAATTATAATAGTGTGGTAAAATTTACTCGCTTTTCAAGTGTTAATTAATGTATTGAGCGAATTTATCCGGAGTTCTTTCAGTTAAATAACTTTTAATGAGAGTTTCGGAGCAACATACAAAAAAAAAAGTTTAGTATCGCGCTATAGTCCGAACTATCTTCAATATATATTTTATTAGTTCCAATTACCATCTTCTTAAAAACACTTTCTGACGAAGTATGTGTTTTACTACTTGAACTAATAAATTTGTCTCATCAACATTCTTTTTGTGATTTTCATTTACATTTAACGGCGTAGGTGATTTTGAATTGCAACAACTCATTTGATTACATCTTTTTAATTTTATAATTCTGAGGCTAAATTAAGGGAAATATAAATACGTTAAAGATACAAATCCTTTAAAAGAAGCTGAATCAAAGCTGTATGTGAACCAAACTATCAAATTTGTTCAGCTGTTCTTTGTGAATAGATTTATTATCGAATAATGACATCAGATGAAACTATAAATATTCTTGTTCTACAACGTAATATGTGTTTGTAAAGACTAAAATTTCAATGAAATGTTAAAGTTAATTAATTTAGTAAGGAAGAAGAGATCTGTATTTACGTTAAATGAGAAGAGAAAAGAATACTTTATGAATTTGAACGATATTTAATATTAACCGAATTACGGATTGTCCATAATAATTTAATTAGAATTATCTATTATCTTGACTGTCAATACATTAGTTGTTACTGTGCAAACCAGTATGAATCGGTAAATTTAAATACTGATATACTAAACTGTATATTTTACAGCATAATTTTAAGTAGTAAGTGTCAACTATGTGTGTTAAGATAATTTATAGTTATTAGAAATATTGAATTATAATTCATTAGTTGAGAGAAAATCTGGAGCTTAAATAAGAAAATTATGTATTGACCGAGAAAGATAAGCAAGAGGTACTGAAATTAGATGAGGAATTTGGTTTTGATATGTACCCAGGAAAGACAAAAGCGCAACTAAGCGATCAGCCAATGGAATGGAACGACGTAAATTCTGAAAAGAATCTGAGTTTAATTGATTAATAATAAACAGTTTGCTGTCTTTTGCCTCTTTCAATACAGAATTTATAAAGGAAGGAAATCCATTATGTTAATTAGCTCATTAACACACACACACACGCACAAATAAATCTATATATAAGATATTTGTAATATATATTTAATATGATTAAAATACGTAACATTTGGAAATAGATATATAGAACAGCGTAGTTTGAATGCTGTGGAACAGAGAAAAATTATCAGCCGTGCCCGAAGATACATCGAATAATTTATTTCTGGATGATTTCTTGCGATACAGATTACTCGCAAATCTTCCCTATGGGTGTGATATGTACCGCTCAAACCCACGCAGTTTGGTATGGTTTACATTTTAGCAAGAGCAGATGGAAAGCAAAAAGGGAAGGAAAATAAGTGCACATTCAGAAAAACAGTTAAAAGGTTCTTTCGAAACTCCAGAAAAAAATATCCTAAACACTACGCATACATAAGATAGCATGATGCGGATTCATTTGGAAAAACGCAATTCAGGGAAACAATCTGAAAGATTTCAAATTCTAACGGTTGCTTAAAAAGGGCTATTAAGATTTTTTATGCTCTCTCTAACTTGCAGTCTACCTGTCTTCTACTACATCCACTCCTGCTAACCACCTTTTTTGGGGTCTTTTTAGTCTTATTATTAAACATGGTTATCTGAGCACTTAAACGTCATATAAAATTCAACAACAAAATTGCAAAAATTTTAAAAGCAGCATATGTTTAGAAATTCTGATGCAGTGTTATGTGTTTCCATAAAAACCTTTCTGTGTTTTCAGACTTTTCACAATTCATCACATCAATGTTCAGATTTCTTGCAAGATGGTTTACAATTTTTTTTTTTTTTATTCTTTTTATTGTTAACGTCATGTAAGTTTACCTTATTTATTAAATATCATGTACTTCTCCCTTGCGCCACATGAAATTAAATTCAACAGCAAAATCACAAAATATTTAAAAATAACATATCTTTAAAATTTCCGACAAACAGTCTCGCGTGCTGGAAATAAAAATATTTTATTTTGAACAGCGTTGACTGCTCGCTTTCAGATCGTTGTGGTGGTTGATGAAAAATTCATTAAAGCTTTACAAAATATGAAATAAATAATGAAACAAATTCGAAATTCAAAATATGGGCTTCCAGGTTCCCATGCTCGGGTGGAGGATTAGGTTATTCAAAATTTGATGGCTCTAGTAGCCGTCTTTTTTTCACAGTGAGAGAAATATACATGCATGCAGATTCTGCGTTATTAAATATCTTGGTTATTTAATTTAGTTACTTTCTTTAAAAGTAATACAGAACGATAATATTTAGTGACAGCAATTTGAAAAGTGATACACCGTTTATAGCGGCTGGACGCAAAATCCCATTTCAAGACTAAAAGCCTCTTTTGGAGTAAAATTAATAAAACAGTTCCTGGTCTTAGAACAGAAGAGAAGAGATGTACAAATTAGTTGAATAATTTACGGGACAATTGCTAATTTAATTTATAATTTTAAGTTTCATATTTTATATCTTACATATTATATTAGTATATTACATATGTGTATTTTCCATAAGTGAATTCCTATTTAACTTATTTATGTCTTTGTTTTTAACTCAACTTCGCTTAAATATCATTATTTTTAACCAATTACTCTAATGTTGAAATCTCTATAAATTTTCTCAAGAAATTTCAATTTTCATATGTTCACAGACAAAAGAAAGGTATATTTTTTTTAATTGTAAAGCATTTTGTTTTTAAGGAATTTATTATTTGTTTATGTTGCTTCCATTTATCCAAAATGAACATCATTACAAAAATATAAAATGCATACTAGATTTTTACATCGATAAACAAGACCATCATATAAAAGTAGTTGTTTCAAACCGTACAAGAAACGAAATTTGAAACATTTTCAAGGAAACGCAACACTCTAAATATCTGCTCTCATGTTGTCGTCCTAAGAGCAACCTTAAAATACTATCCATAAAATAACAGAAAACGAGAGGTTCTTTTCCACCTGAATGAGACATGTTGCCAATATTTTTGCGGTGTAGCAAAGAGAAAGCTGAGTAAAGAAAAAAAAAAAAAAAAAGATAAATACTTCCGAAACCTCCAACGGACCATAAAAATGAGGAAATATGGCACGTATTTCAGTTTCGTTTTATTTACGTAGAACTCACCGGTTGCAGAACCGATATCTGTGGTATCCTTCTTCCATTTCAAAGTGACTGATGATGACGTCACGCTCAGCACTTCTAACGATGGTGG